CAAATGCGACTTTCTGAATGACCGCACGACATGATGGGGCAGCTTCTACATCAAACTGTGACTCCTCAAAACTGTAGCTTGAAAAACCAAATTCATTTCATTAGCACACTCATCGTTCTACTATCTCAGCAATAGAGCAACGCAGATAGCGTACATTTGGAACAGTTGAAGTACCACCCGTGAATGGAAGGAATTTGAGACCCACATAAAAATGACAACCATTCGGTTGTTTGTTGAATGAGGAATAAGAAGTCATGCTGCAGGAAAATGAAGGAAAAGTGCAAGAAACGAAATGGTTCCGACAGTTACTTGCTAATGCAATATGAACAATCGTACCACTCATTCAAAAGCCTCCTTTCACTTTTAAATGTTCATTTTCGTCACACATCACTTTCAACCGGGAGCCAATCTAGCACCTAAAAGCTTTGAAGGCGCATTTGGATGGATGTAAAAGTGGTAAAGATTTGCTTGCAGGTACCAAGATCGACTCGACAAATCCCCAAGAAAAGCTCATTATCATCACTGTGTACGTAGCAGTGGGCTTATCCGTATTTGCCATGTGCTTCAAGTTGATGCAAGAAGAGGTGGTCTCAAAATGCAAGTGGTTGGCCCGCTACATCGGCGTCCTCAAACGTCGAGTGCGCAAGCATCGGGTAGAACGACCTCAACAGCTCAATTCGAACTCCCCGCAGAAGGGTGCGTTCAGTAATGGAAGACTTTCGCTCTTGTAGGACTGGTGTGTATGTGACTTCTCGATGTTGTAAGTTTCCATTCTCTCTTCATGTGAATCACGCGCTCCGGCAATGCCGGTCCTACCTTATCGAGAGTGCAATCTTGACACAATTCAGTGTACATTACTGTCCTACTTCTACGAGATACTCAGAAACTGTAAGAAAATTATATATCGTATGGTGGAATAAAGTTTGCCAACACACAGGACTTACTTATTTTCCCTTTATGCATGCTCACATTAACTTTTGGTGCTATTGAGGGCGTAAAAGTTTTCATGCTGCAGCACCGATTTCATCTCCACGAATAGTTCAACTTGAAGCACACGCATAAGAGCGTCACCTTTGAGGCATACCTTGCCGCAGACGAATAAGTTCTCATCGAAATGAATCTTTCCTTAATGCAGCGACTCCCAAGCAGTAGCCTTATTGCCCATTACGTGCTTACAACCGCGCGGATGGCATTAAATATGAGAATGAACACTAGAAAATCTACAAGGTGATAGTATTTAGGCTTTCGGCTCACTGCACTTCAACTACTCTCTTCTTTCACAACAGCATGAGTTCATCAATGTCAACATTTAAATGGGCGTGGTTAAAATGGCATGCAAATGAACGCCACTGGGTGATCAACTTGCTAGCAAAGATAGCACCAATCCATTACCTGATGTATGATGCGCACATAATATGGAAGGATTACATGAATTTTGGACTTCGCTGTGTTTTAAATCAATGGAAGGCCAAAATTGGCGACCAATATGCAGCTGTGTTGCACGAAAACATCCTTTCTTCTTAAAACGAGGTTGTATCCCTCAGACCGGTTAAAGGTGTCAAATAGAACCTGAAGTAATACGCAGCACGAATGATGGGGCTACGGAGCCATTAAACGGGTCAACGTAACGCAAAACGTAAATTAAAAATTTGAGTGCATCCTATGGAACCTTAAAAGGGGCAGCTAGAAACGTCATTTTTTCCTACCAATCCACGCTGATCCCATGTAAGCAAACTATAATTACAAGATTTCCAAAAATGGCTTGAAGGTGCTTATTTAGATTTACTGTCACTAATTGATCTTGCGTTTTATATTTCCTAACACGATCAAGATCTTACTAAAGTTTGTTCTAGAAGGAAGTTGATCTCATAAAAACAATTATCCCATAAAGTTCACTGAAATTCCCTCGCATACTAGTGAATTTTACACACCCCATCCTCAGACAAATAGACTTTTCCATTTCTGATAGTGAATTTGTTACAACGAACACGTGAGCAAGCATGACATCATATTTGCAATAAATTGTGTTGGCAGCAGATAGGGATGGGTTTTAACAGCCACCGTCACCGAAAAATTAATTCTACCCTTTAAATGGGTACAAAAGGATGCATCCAACGTATGATGTGTAACTCACGAACTTGGTCACAAATGTAGGAATAACACAATTGGGTTTCAACCAAAATTGCTTTTGTCTATGTGTGTTGGGTAAGAAGGATGGTTCAAGTAATATTACCTTGATTGCGTGAGCACCAATGTTTGGCGGTTGCTTCGATATTTGTTTGGCTCTCCAACACGTGGGTTGACGTTCGGGCCAGACCAAAGCCAATCCCTTCTTATTCCTCTAAAATGCATGCATTCAGCTCGAAATAAGGCTTTGTCTTACCTGGTATTTGCCATAATGGTGACGGAAGTCATAAGACTCGGATGAATACTTCTATTCAGGCAGAAAGAATAGAAGTGGAGCCAGTCCACCAGGCAGAGGCAAACGGACAGCCCACCATACCGCCTTCTATACAGGCAGTCGAATCGACAAAGCATTGCAAGCGTTGGTAAAAGTTTGTTTTTACTGTTTTATTGTTTTTTTCCGAAATCCGCATATTTAGTAATGTTCTCTGAAATTTTTCGATTACTATTGTGATAGCTAGTCTGGTTTTTTATTTCGTACTTCGGAAGATGAGCCACTTCTGGTCTGTATCATTAAGTCCATTCAGTACCCCCGAAGAGTTGTTTGTCATACATATTAGTATTGTGATTTATTTTGCTATCTCTCATTAAATGGGCAAGCTTAGCACGTTGCACTGAAACCAGTAGAAAGCGAAGCCACTTTTCAAAGCTTTTAACCTAGCTTATGCGATTTGCAACTGAATTCGCGGTATGAATTAAGTGAACCTGCTCCACAACAGAGGGCTAGAAATTATGTCTATTATCAGTATCTTTCCAATTCTAGTATTCTATCAGAAAGCTAAAAAGAACTGAGCCAACACCTTCGTGAACCATTAGACAAAATCTTGTTTTATTTTTCCTCGACTTTTCCTACTTATAGATGCTGACAACATGGAATTGCCAGAAACCATATCTGCACGAAAATATGTTAGATCTCGTCCTTCCTGCTATTTCTTTAAGATCATTTTCAATGTCTATTATGGTTATTATAACTTCTCGCCTCTGATTCCCGATTTCAGATTGAAAAAAAAACAGATCCAGTTGAAGACACTAAAGGAGGCGTACACATTCCACCGGTCTCATAAAAATTGATCAGTGGTAAAGATGATTCGTTGGTGATTTCTCGCAGCACTGAGTACGTTGTGACGACCACTGTAGGAAGCCCATTGGGAGAAGCGCTTAAATAGTCGTTCAACTAACAGAAGGGAGACTGTACTACATCGTCTATTTAACAGTTCTTGTGGATGGTGGTCAATTTTGCGGTCATCCTAATTCATTCTGGTGAACTGCTCTTAAAACAAACAGTAACCATAGTTATATCCTTTCTGTCTGATTACGGATATTGAAATAAGACTTACGCCATCCATTATCAAATAAAAGTTTAGGGGCACAGCAGCATTATCTTTGGCTCTGAACACAGTGGAGCCAATGGGGCCAAATACATGTATTCCGCATAAGTATGGCATACTTAATTTCCTGAATCTTCCCATCAAGTAGCAGAACGCATTAGGTAGGGCCAAACACTTGTAGTCTAGGAGAAGAGGGCGTGATTCGGTTTTGACTTGACCCGAAGGCTAGGTAATGTAGGATAGGGTACAATGAACAACAAAGTGGTTGTCGAATATGCAGGTAGGCAAACAGACAAGGTACAACAATTTTCTTAAAGGTTATTATAAAATACTTGGCAAGCAAAATATCAGTGGGTGTAAAATACACGCAAAGCAATTCAAATATGGGTCCTGTTCATAAGGAACGTGAAGAAGTGCTGTACGATTGATATGAGCTCTATGTCTCACTATCACCCATTACCTTTCGTTTTGTACATAATGCCTAATAAAGCTTACTCAACCAACTCTCTCCTCTGCCTGAGAGTAGGCAAATTCTATAGTAAACAACAATCAGAAATTAAGAGTTATTTAAATTTAAAAGCTTTACTGAGAAATCGCTTAAGGGACTCTGTAATGTTTTGTTTACCTGAACATCTTATCTGTGGCGACTACTTTGGTGCTCGTCCAGTCTTTGCTCGCGTGTTAGGTTTTGGGTCAATCTCAGGTTTGGTTCATTTTCTCTCCGTAGAATATATGCATTAACCTCCGCTTAATGCCTCCTCGCACCCAATGGGGAGTCTTGGGGTACTGTAGACTTATTCATTTTGCAAAAGTTTATGCTAATATAAATCTAGTTTTTCAATGAGCTTAACTAAATACAATTCGACAGTGCTTAAACTCCACCTGCAAACGTGTGTTTAATAAAGATGTGCTCGTGTACTTCCAGGCATGTGAGGCGTGTGAGTATATGTTTTACTTCCCTCGTTTGTTGGAAAGCTGCATGGAATGCTTGTTCTTGGGTAGTTGCTCTTTTTCCTAATCCGGAATCCGGTAATCGTGAATAATACACATTCGATTTAAGATTTTACTCGGTCATTTCACGTATTTTCCGTCCTAACGTATGATGGGAAATCATTTTGTTGTTTTACTATATGTTGCCTTCCAGAATATGATTTGATATCTATTAACATCCCACGTTGATTTATACTTCCTTGAGCAGAATGACGTCAAGATTAACAAATGATGAATGGAAAAGAAGGCTACCTTCAGACGTTTATCGCGTTACGCGTGAAAAGGGTACGGAAGAGGTGGGCATTGTGCAACTTCTAATTTTTTAGCCTTTTTCAGGCAAATATAACAAACATTTTGAAAACGGACGTTATAAATGTGTTTGCTGTGGTGCCTTGCTATTTGAGTGAGTGTTTATGCATAAAAATTCATCATGATTCTGACACCACCATATTTCTTTGCCGATGTTCTCCTCAGTCTCTTCGTGAATTGACAGACTTTCAAAGATTCCACGAAGTATATTTACTACTTTTAGCCAATCATCTCTATGCAGGCAACAAGATTTCGCAGTCGACTTCCTAATTTTTTGTTAACGTTGTCATTTGCCCCGCAACTTTTATCTCCATTGGACAAAGGTCGAAGGACAAGTTTGATAGCGTCTGCGGGTGGCCATCTTTCTCTCGTGTTTCAGGCTCCTCGCCCTCCGGTGACGACGCCGGCACAAATGTTGAACGGCGTTCGGATACTTCTTTAGGTTTGCTGCGCGTTGAAGTCGTCTGTAAGTTGGTAAGATTGCTCTCAGCAATATACCTCTAGATGCCTTGTATTAAGCCTGTCTAAGCTGTAGTATTTTCTTACCTGGGTTTGTAAACTTTGGGGAGATCAAAGTGCACCAAACCTTTGTAGGCAAGGTTTCATGACCTTTTTGGTGCGACTTTTTTACTTATATCGAGAAGTTGACGTTCATTCGATTGGTCAGTACCGCAGGTGCGCATATACGTAGTAAGTTTGCTGTTTTATCCATGAAATACGGTCATCTGTTTTCTTGCAGTGTGATGCGCATTTGGGGCATGTATTTGAAGATGGACCTGAGCCTACAAATCTAAGGTATTGCATAAACAGTGCATCTATATCCTTTGAACCTGATGGATAATCATTAGCCCAGAATGTATAAATAATTGTATCCTTTTTTAAATAAACGATTTGTCGGTTATTATTTTTCACCCTCTTTCAATACTTGTACCTAATTTGTATCGAGTTTTGTTAAGTTTTCATTACCAATATGATATACCGCTTCCGTGTTTTAAATGAGCCCATAGAAGTGCGATTTGGAAATGTGCCATATCCTTGTACTGACTTGTTGACCTTCCAACAGGTAGCTATTTCCTTAAAGTTTAACTTTTTCAAATATGGATGGCGAGTGTTTGTAACTATGGCCCGCATTTGCAGAGAACGTTTCTATCGCAATTGCATAGTATTATTTGTTGACCAAACCTTACTAATTGGTTTGCTTCGAGACTGGACGGAGTGGAGCATTCCTTCAAAATTGAGAGTCGATCAACTTGCCCAAACATTCTAAGACCCACATCCCTTGTGACTACAAGTAGTGCAATGGCCTCTCTTGCTGAGGTGGACTGAACTTGACATTGGAGGTGAGGGCCTTTAAGTTTGCCTAACTGAAGTCAGAGCTGCGGATTCGGAGAAGATCCGGATGCTACAAAGTGTCCTTAAGGAACGCCTGGAAATTTCGTGCAAAATAGCTCACCTATCCTGTATGAATGTAGTAACAAATAAGAAACAAGAAATGATAGATCTGAGGTTTCGATAACTGAGTTGCGTTGGGTCGTACTCACACATTTGTTGCATGGCGAATGGAAAAGAGTGGGTCATCGCAAAGTGATGACGCTATGACCGGTGGGTGGGGCAGATGTGGTAGAGGGAAAGTGTGAAGATGTTGGACTGGCACAGATGCAGGGGAATGAATAAATACTTTGCGGTTACTTTGTGCCGCTGCACACCCTCTACTATGACAGTGAGTGTGATCCAGGCTTGCATCGCTGGAGCGATGTACAAAAAGCATCAAACCTTGAAGTGGCCACAAAGTTTAGACGAAACGAGCTGTCAGAACACATACGTGCGCACTGAGTATGTACAAAATGCACGGAAAACCGATGGGAGTTGAAGTCGGCGGGGGAGTCACCCGTGATCAGACCCCCTCAGTTGACTATTTGGAGGGTGTTGCAACAAGTTGCTTCTTTTCCCAACTAGGGATGGATAAATTTCCTTAAATATATGCACAAACCAAGACCTATTGGGGGAACTCAATGG